AAAGAAGGCGACTCAATTTGTCTGCTCGGTGATGGTTCTAACTTCACTAACACTCGTCCAACATGTTAGAATAAGCTCACGAACTAAACCAAATATGTCAGATTACGCAACCCCAGTCTTGCATTTCCTTGGGATGTTAAACGTTAATGACCCTAGACTGAAAGGTTAGGACAAATGGTTTGGTAACTTGATTTTCATGCTTACAAGCTCATATCTCATTATTTCAACTATACTTGTTTACGGACTTAGACAGTCTCGGTCAAAACTTTCTCTTGGGTCATTAGGTCTTGAGGATCAGAACCTGAGATTAAAACTTTGAAAACTCTGATTTAGAAACCGTATTGCATATAGACGCTAACACACACAAATATACATACTCATACAAACGAGCAAAAATAACAGGACCACTCTATATCAATCTTTCTAGGTTTTTTATTTTCTTTTGGCTCAATTGAGTCTATATAAGAATTGTATTCACCCAATTTCATTTAAGGTGATGAATGACTGGTAGAAGAATTTTCCCACAATGATATGACAAGAGTTGACGTTTCCATTGAATTTCGCATAGCCTTGCTTTCCCAAAAGTTGTTCTACATAAGAAGTAAGATAGATTCAGATAGTGTCCTTGCCCTAGTGTTAACGTGAAACTCTTACAAGAATGAAACCCAGCTCTGATGATGTCCATCATATGATTTCGATAGCTCAGCACGTTTTCACCCGAAACGAGAAAGGAAGTCTCGTGGACTGCATCATCATGAATATCGTATAAAAGCCAAACGGTTGCAGTATAGTATAACGAGATGTGCTCGTCCTCCTCTGCTGAGATGGACCAAGTAATCTCTTCTTTATTCACTTTCATACGAAATGAAAGTCCCCCTAACAATTTCATCTCAAGAGATTTATCGAAACCCTGTTTCTCCTCGTATCTGTAAATATAAGCATCTACCCAAAGTTTGAAATATTTCTAATGCAATTTTTCATGAATTTCGATTCAGCCTATGTTTTTTCTATCTTTAAGTCTTAAATTCTTAATGCTTTTCATTGCTAATAGCGAAGAAGACGCCAAATTCTACGCAAGTCAGGTGGTTTTGGCCTTTGAGTATCTACATTGCTTTGAACTGATATATCGAGACCTCAAACCGGAAAACCTACTCATCGAGTCTAATGGCTACCTCAAGGTTGGTCGAGTTGTTGACTCACTGTTTTTTCTTTGTCAAGTATTACGCTGTAAAAATGATTACTTCGCATATTAGATAAAAGAACTCAAATCCTTGGCCTAGCATCTTTTAGGTCATGCGTTCTGGTATCTGTGAGAAATTCGTTTGAAAGCTTTGTCGTCCTTCCTGAAATGGCATATGAGTCCTGTTGTCGAGGGGCGTCCTGGCCTAATCCATCCTACAGTATATCTAGTCGTAGATAAGATATTTGCTTATTAAGCAACCTGAATTCAGTCTTATTATTATTGGCTTATTAGGCTTCGAATGTATATGGTAAATGCAGCCTGAAAAATAAAGCTTATTAATTTACTCGATGTGAAACCATTTTTGGATGGTTTAACGTATAAATTCTTATTTTTTCTCCATTCTTTGACAGAATTTTCACTCCCCCAGGCCGCTTAAAGTGATGATGGACTGATTGTTAAGTGTGAAATGGATAGGCCTTTGAATTTGATAAAGTCTTTCCGTTACAGTCGGTAATGCTACTATTATTCATTGTAAATAATTTTGAGCCAATCAATGAATCATAAATAAGAACTTTAGTCACCCTAGGTCGCTTTAGGTGACGATGAAATGATGATGAATTCTCCTAAAATGAGATATGCAGGCCTCAGGATGTCATTGACTTTCACTCATCCTGGCTTCCCAATGGGTATTCTTACTCAGGCTGAACTGGACAGCAGTTTCGACTTGACCTAAGCTTCATCAGCACCCCAGCGGGACTCGAACCCGAGGAGTTCCAGACTGCTACGTGCGTCCCTAGAGTGCTTATAGTGGGATTATCGATGATGCAAACATGTAAATTGTCATTACAGTAGGTCTTAAAACTATGAGTAAATCTTGAAAAAGAGTTCCAATCACTCTTACTCAAAAATTAATCATATTTGAGAAATTAAAGTTATATGAACATTTTACAACTTTGTCTCTTGCACTTGCATTTTGTCGGCCAAGTGGATGGAAATTTTTCTAAGAGTGACGGGGATCGGAAAAATGCATTTCACAACCTTGATTTAGGTCTACATGATGGATTTGTTGCTCCTATTTTTCGCGAGGAAAGCCAAATAATAGAACCGTTAATACCCCTTCTCGAACGCGTATTGTCGCTTATCAATTCGCGGCTGTGTATGCAATAAACAGAAGCCCTGTTTTCCAAGCTTATATAAGAACGAGATTTTTTTAAATCGTGAGTCTATCACCCAAATTGACCTTTTTCCTGAATCTGGGCTGTAGTTGCCTGGCCGTATAGTGGGTCACTGCATTACTTTAATTTTTTGAAGGATAGCAGAGCCAATCTCAATCAGAATACACCGAATTGCTGGACGGCCTAAAAGGTATACGAGAGAATGATGCATTTCATGTGATTCTACAATTAATTAACAAGAATCAAAGTTCCCCTCTGTTGGCTGTAAGATCCGTTTTCTTATCCAAACTCGAGTGAAGAGTCTAACTTGCCTCTGTCTCATCAGTACCCTCGACCAGAGTCGAAATTGGATCTGTTGCTACTCACGCCACAGAGTATGAAGCTACACTGTGACACAGGTCAGATGTGAATTATATGCGTTACGTTACCACTCTACTACCAGGCCACGGGTTTCAATGGGCTACAGATAAGACTTTAATTCAAATCAGGCGAGGCCTCCCTGATTGTACATTTCATAAGTGGGATTGCTGATTAGCCAAATGCATATTGTCTATTACAATCAAACATATTATATGACACTTAAAGGGCAGGTCACGAAAACAGCAGATGATATTTTGGTTATGTGGCCGATAGTACTGAGAAATATGAGCTTTGACCCTCCAGAGCTCGAGGCTTTGGTACAAACTGTACCTTTGAGAACAAGGCGAGATCACAGCTAATGTCTAGTTTGGATCAGGAGTACTTTTGAAAGGCAAGGCTGGCATCTTGAAGTTTTTCCCTTATTTAATTGTGAGAAATTCAGACCAGGCTAACACAAGATCTCATACATGGCGTTATTCAAGATCTTATTTATGACCTTAGTATAGATCTTAATCAACATCTTGTTCAAGATCATATTCAAAATATCATTTAATATTCTATTGAAGGTTTTGTTCAAGATCTTATTCGATATCCTTTTTCAAGATTTTAACCAAGATCTTATTCAAGCTTATATTAAAGATACTATTCAAGATCTTATTCAAGATGATATTCAACATCTTATTCAGGATTTTATACAAGATCATATTCAAGATCTAATTTAATTTCGTATTTAAGATCTCATGATCTTTAAGAAATCCTCTT